TCTTTTTATTTTATTTTTTTTATTGACATCTTATATCAAATGTTATTTTTTGCAACATTTAATATCAAACGTTGTAGTTTTTACGATATTTCTTCATAAATGTTGATGTTTTAACGATATTTCTTCATAAATGTTATTGTTTTTATGATATTTAGTATCAAATGTCATTTTCTTTTACAACATTTAGTATCAAATGTCATTGTTTTATGACATTTTGTATCAAATGTCGTAATTTTGACGACATTTCTTCATTATTGTTGTTGTTATTACGATATTTTGTGTCAGATGTCATATTTTGATGACACTTAGTATCAAATGTCATTGTTTTAGTGATATTTTGTATCAAATGTCGTAGTTTTTATGACATTTGTTCATAAATGACATGAATTTCACATTTTTCCGATATTTATTTCAAATGTTGTTAAATAAATATCGTCGTATCCTCACTTTCTTGTAGTGCACCTACTAACCATTACAAGCTAAACATTGATGGAGCTTATGATCAAAATAATCAAAACAGTAGAACTTGTGGAATCATCAAAGACCATAATGGCAATTGGATAGTGGGATTCGCGCGCAAAGCAGCTGCAACAAACGCTCTCCACGCTGAACTGCTAGCACTAATGATTGGACTAGAACTATCCTTCACAAAAAAAAACTCTTTCTCACTATAGTGGAAACATATTCACAGGTATTATGTAACTTATTTAAAGACGAACAATTTCGCTACTCACATCTTCTTCATGACTGTAGTTTTCTTCTTAATGCTATTGGAGTGGCAGAAATAACACATGTATACCGGGAAGGCAACACTGTAGCAGACACCTTGGCCAAGTGTGGAAGCACCAGACAACATATATCAACAGAGGAAGATAACAGTATGTACTGGGAAACACCTCCGACTTTTATTTTACCAGTTTTTATTAAAGACAAATTAGAGAAAATCGCAATGGAGTCTATCTCTATGATATATAATAACTAAATTGTTCCTATACTTTTAATATAATAGACTCTCCTTTCTTTAGCAAAAAAAAAATATGTAGAACTTTTTATTTATTTTTAGATTAATAACCCACGATATTAATTATGTTGCAAATTCTTAACCTTTTTCAAATCAAAGCTACATAATTGGCATCTATGTGGGTGGGTTCTCAGTGGACAATGTCACCTTAAATTATTTTTTTAGTCTTTATCATTTACTCCCCTTTATTTTAGTAGGCGACAGTCTTCTTTATCTGGCCGCATTGCATCAAAATGGATCCAATAATTCATTGGGTGTACGTTCAAAGAAGGATAAAATTGCTTAAGATATGTAAAAATAAAAATGCATCAGCAATGTCATCTCTGAATTCACAAGAGTTACATGAAGTCACCCGGTGTAAAATGAAGGAGATGTATTTAAGAGTTTTTTAAAAAGAAAAATTTTAAAAAAAACATCCTCAGTCGGATAGCCAGAGGCGGATCCAGAATTTAAATTCTATGGGTTAAGCCTTTAAGTTTTTTAGCATTGAACTCATTATATTTTTAAAGTTATGGGTCCAGATCTACTATTTGTTGCAATTTTAATAAACTTTACACAGAACTTTATGCTCCGCTCGAAAGTTATGGGTTCAGTTGAACATGTTACTTATATGTTAGATACGCCCCTGCGGATAGCGGACTACCTAGGTAAAGTGATTGACTTTTTTATTACAAAAAAATTATTTAGTGATTTTTTGTGATTTTTAGCCTAAGTTAGATGATTTTCTACGGATGTAATTTAGTAGCTTTGGTACAAAGCAAAAGTTGAGTGACTATTTATGACATTAAATTTTTGGTGGACAATCTAATTAACATAATAATGGTGACAAAAGAATTTCACAAAACAAAAGTGTAAATGAAATGGATGGACTCGTAGTAGTTCTGATTTTTCACCTTTTTCTTGCAATGACATGCATTATTTAATCCTATAGGAACAGCAGATATTCTTCTCTCTCTTTTTTTTTAAATTAAGTATCATCTTTACGTGACGTTTTGCATTTCACTGAAAATATCACTTTTGGGAAATGAAACAGCGTATTTTTCAAGAAAATGGAACCCTTTTCCTCTAAAAGAGTGAGTACATGAAAGGAAAGAAGCCAAAAGATTGACCATATTCAATAAATTAAATGATAATCCAGGAAACTAATTAATTGAATGTGCTAGAATACATTGTATAATTTGAAGTATACGTACTTATTTTGCAAACATAATTACTAATTAGTTAATGATCGTCCTGTGAATTTAACTGGATGGCGTTTTTTATGTCTATTTTTCCGTTGTCTTGACAATTACAAGATAAAAACAACTCGACCTATTCAAAAGGTCTTTGAATAGAACCTCCGAAATTATTAGGAAATGTAACAAAACAAAAATTTCTTTCTAAAACCTCATCTATACCAAAAACATCAAACCTTCTATCCTTTTCCTTTCCATCTTCTATATATTTTCATTCAATTGATTCTTCAACAACATAGTCATGGTTTCAAAATGGATGGTCATGACGACCTTTATTTTCTACTGGATATTGTTCATTTTATCTCTCTTCGCCGCCATTGTTCTTGTTGTACTTATCTTGCATCATTTGATCGAAGGTTTCAAAGGACTTGTAATATACATACGAAGGACAAAGGATGAAAGGACTAGAGCTGTACGTGTTGTGGATGAATCACAATTCAAGGATGTTACAAACAATGCCGTGCATTTCCAAGTCTGAAAACACAAATCTTAACGTTGAGATGAATATAATCGGAGTTCAATTCTCACTATCTCCTGTAATAGAGAGAAAAAAACGAGGCATGAACATGACGACGTTTTTATCTTGCATGCATGGAAAGAATAAGGAATTTTCTCAGTTTTGGCATCGATTTGGCCTAAACCCTAATCCTTGGGGTGATGTTAAAGTAAATCTTGCTACTCAATGAGTCATAAAAAGAAATGCTATGTATCCTGATAATCTTTTATTTCTTTATATTCAGTATTTACATCAAATCATAGCAATTTGTCAGATATGTTTTGAGGAGAGGAGAATATATAATAGTAATTAATTATGGTTAGATAAAATGTCTATATATAGGCGCATGTCATGTATCTCTTGATTTGATGTAAACATCTCATGTACGTAGCTAGATTTATTAACAGAGTTTAAATTCTATATATTGATCATGTAATATATTTATACAATCATATCATTTATTAGATAATTACAAGTCAATCTCTTAATAACTACTATTAATTTATAATTTGGTAAAAATAAGTAACTAATATACTTATCACATAAGTATTAAAATTCACTAACAATATAAACAAATTTTTAGTATATACAGTAACACTTAAATCCTTACCAATAATGAATAGAACCATTCAGTAAACAGGGGCGGCCTAAGGGCAAGGCAAATAAAGCCGCCCCAAAATATGAAGGTTCCAATTTACCTTCGTAATTAAATCTAATTACTAGTTGGAATTAAGTTTAGTCATATTAGTATGTTTATTTTAAGTTATATGAATTCTAGGAGTCTTTTAAATAGTCCTCTAAGAAATTTATATACAACAAATATGCCTCAATCACAGACCAGTTGAGGTTGGTTGTATGAATCACCATTAGTTCTATTTGGGTGCCATAATATTTTAATTATCTGTATTTAATAATTTTCTAATGTCACGGTTATTAATTTACTCTAGTCGTTATAATTCGGCAGAATACCTAAAAACACTCCTAAACTTAGCACGGATTATTAGTTACAACCTTAAACTATTCGTGATCTCAATTACCCCCCTCAACTTGGCCTTTTGAGAGTCATTACCCTCTGGACGCTGACGTGGCAAAGAGTGTTGGTGCACTCTTTTTTAAGCGCGTGGGAGTGAAGAAAAATTGAAAAATCTGCTTCCAAATATGTTATTTTTTAACTTTTAATTGTCATATAGTCATATAGAATGATTTATTTGTAACAGTTATGTACTTCTTCTTGCTTCATCTTAACATACTTTGTTTATATTTCCTATTTTTTTTTCTTTATATATAATGTCTATTTATTTTAATTGTGTATTTTTTATTTTCGAGTCAAACTAATAAAAACAAATTGGCCATAGCTCCATTATTTTTTACCAAATAAAAAAAGTATAGCCAAAATAGTGAACTTGCAATTGTACACTCTTTTTATTTTTTATTTTGATGCAATGACTATTTATTTCAACTGTGTATTTTGACTTTTCACGTAAAATCTGTAAAAAAAAAAAAAAAAAAAAAAAAAAAAAAAAATTTAGAGCACCATAATTTAGAGCTATATAAAATATTATAGCCAAAATAATAAATTTCAAACTATATATTTATTATAACTTTATAGATGCCTTGATTATTTATTTTAATTGTATAAATATTTATTTTCAGGTCAAATTCAAAAAAAGAATAACTAAAACTTTATTATTTTTAGCCAAATAAAAAAATTAGCCTAAATAATGTAGTTCTATCCAAGTTTTATTATAAATTTTATTCGAAAAAAATTATCTAAAAAAACAACATACTTAAAAAGGTAAAAATATATTTTATTTTTCAAAAAAATGCCACATAGACAGAAAAATCCACGTGGCAGGCGAGTGCATGCCACTTTCCTGGGATGAGATCGTCCAAGGGGGTAACAACTATCGAATAACCAAGTATAGGGGATAATTAAGACCATAGATAGCTCAAGGATATAATCAATAATGTGTGCCAAGTGTAGGGAGGGTTTAAGGTATTTTGCCTTATAATTCGAATATACATAGTCTTAAAAAGCATCTTCTCATAATTTTATATGCTAATAGAAAATATAGAAATCTTTTTTTCTTTTCTTTTTTAAAAAAAAATTGTTTAAGCGGAGTGACATGATTAGTAGGAATTCATATAATCGGCCTCACTTGTTTGGGTTTGAGATGTACATAATTGTTTTTGTAGTAGTGAAAGTGAACTGCTAAATTGGTGGTTGGACTTGTGCAGGAATGTAAAGATGGATTATATCGACTTATATCTGATACATTGGCCAGTGAGTTCTAAGCCAGGAATTCATGAGTATCCCATTAAAAAAGAAGACTTTCTTCCCATGGATTTCAAGTCAGTTTGGGCAGCAATGGAAGAGTGCCAGAAACTTAGACTCACCAAGTCCATTGGAGTTCGCAACTTTTCTTGCAAGAAGCTTGCTGATGTTCTTGCTACTGTCAATATTCCGCCTGCTGTCAATCAAGTATGTTAATCCAGTACAGAACTTACTTGAGAAGTAGTATCTGTTAGACAAATTGAGTGAAAAGTTATGTTGTGAGACCTGAGCTGTTCTTGATTTGAAAGGTAGAAGTGGGTCCATGTTGGCAGCAAAAGAAGCAATGGAGTTGTTGTTGGATACAGTCCTTTAGGATCCATTGGTACCTTTTATGGAACCAACAGAGTTATGGAATCTCAAGTGCTCAACCAAAGGCAAGACTGTCGTGCAGGTATTCTAAGATGAGTTTAACTTAAACTACATCAATAGTGTAAAAATGTATATATAACTTAAATCTTCTATAGTTTTAGGAAATGTAACAGATTGCATAAACTAACACACTTGCATTCCTAGAGCATCCCACGAAAATATGCTAACCTCGTTGACCTTCATTGAAGTTTAAGTTTGTTCCAACTGACACAAAATACACAGAAATCCATCATCAAGGCTGGTCCAACGCTTAATTGGAAAGGTTAAAACTTAAAATACAGCCGGGAAATCATTGCTCTAACATTTAGTCCACATTCAAGTCAAGATTCACCAACTCACATACATCTATCTACAACGAACAGATATCAGAACAAGACTCCGAGGCGTTGAGTCCATAACTTATTCTACATTATTTCCCATCTATCATATCCATCATAGGCTTAAACATCTGAGAAGCTACAATTTGCATGAACTATATACAAAGATTGATATTTCATGTGAAAACGGAAGAACAAACATAGTAGATAATCTGATACATGCTTAACCAATAGCAACCCAACTAGATTCCGTGGGATATACTGATACTCAAGTTTAGTCCAAATTCAACAACGCATGGGCCTCTCATAATTTGGAGGTAAAGAAGGACAGTTCTCATTCATGTTGGCATATGGCTCCAATGTGTTGTACTGGGGCAGTTCCATTTGGTATTCGCCAAGAATCTGGCAGAAAGAGACCTTATTGTCTCCGCTGTTGCACCAACTCGGAAGGCGTGTCTGATTATCTTCGAAAATTTTAAGCGTGTATGCATCTTTTATCTGCAAGCAGTAAGAACGATTTACCATCACTAATTGGGTGACAGAATGGAAGTTTTTTCTAACAAGACGAGATTAGACAAAGGCTTTGATACCCACAGTGAACTCCGTTACTTGAATAGAGTTGGAAATAGGGCCAAAAACTCCTGCTTCTTTGTACATTGCTAGAATGAAGGCCACGCATGTAGTGGATTTCCCATCACTGTAGACCCATTCATCTTGTTCTGGGATGGTCAGCAATTGATCAAATGTTATCCCACGCTTTTCAGTTTCAGCAAGAATACCATACAAGTCCAAATCCTGTAGGAGAAATATCAACTGTACATATGAAGTGATCTTTACGGATAAAAAACTTGAATATGGTTCTGTAGAATTTAGAATCTGCGATATATTTAATGCACTCTCTGTATGTAACAGTTATACTATGATATTGAAAGTGAAAGTTCAATCAACTAGTCAACTTGAACTAAAAAGGAAGCTTTCTGAAGCATGCTTCAATTTATGATGTTAATCTTATGCTTGCTCAAAGGCTAAATGTCTGTATAAAGGAAGATCATCTATAAAATACGGCTCTATACTGTTCTCAGAAGAGTTCTGGAGTACCTCAGGTGATGCAAGCTGACCAAACAGTACTGTCATTCAAAAAAACTATTATAATATATGTATGAACTGCTCGTACTAAAAGGACCAAAGGAAAAAAATCAGTATTTAGGAGGGAACTCATAAGCTGTGTTTATCAATGGAATCAGCGGAATGAGCCACCTTCTATGCTTAATCACTACCATTAACTAATAGCTAAGATGTTATACATGTTTCCGTCGAAAAGATTCTAACAAGAAAATATACCATGTTCAGTTACCTCAGTGCCAAGTCTCTTATTCAGAGCTTCATTCCACATGTTAGCAGCATATGCTGGCTGCACTCTTGTCCACATAGACATGACAGAAATCACCTGGCAACAAAAGTCTTCTGCTGAGAAACCACACTAAAGTTGTCCAAGAGTTCTATTCAAATGGAAGAATGGTAGTGGTGACCAATTAATATTCCTTCAATTTCTGGTATTTTCATTTTAATTGACTTGCTTTTTCACCTGTTGTGAGGAGCTTATTTTATCAATGGTTCTTCGGGGAGGGGAACAGTAATAACCATAGATCCTTCTGAATTTCAACACTGGAATATGTTTCTTTTATACTAAGTTGAGGTATTTCCTAGAGAGTGATAGCCATATAGGATATGTGTAGGTTAGATAAGTCGTTGGTGAGTTAAGAATCTTAGCGTCGAGATTGACGGACATGTGGGAATTCACCTAGTTCCTAGGAGAGCATAAACATCCATTGCTACTTGCTCATCATCGTTTATACTTTTAAAAGGAATGATAGGGAGACATACCAAGTGAGCATCAAGAGGTGGAGGGTAATTATCAGCTACTGTGTCAATCCAACTAAAAATCATGTTATGGTAACCATATGGTTTCCCGGACATTTTCCGAGCATATTCCCATGCTGCGGTATTATTAAATCTCGCACGCACTTCAGGATGTAACGGCAACAAAGCAACTTGTGGATTAGAATCATCCTTAAGTGTCAATTCCCACCATTCATCCCAAGGGATAACCGCAATAATTTCTTCACCCTGCAAAGATATACCACGAGAATCAGTTAACCAAGATTAAGCAGACTGAACATACCAAAACAAAGATATGAGAATGTTACCATTCATGCTATTAAAATGCAATGCCTTTACACGCTTTAAAAGCTAACAATAAAACTCAGAGAGTCATCCCTCCCTCCCTCCAGGGGTAGAGAGGGATAGCACAATGAGGTATAAGTAACTCATCAGAGGTGAACTGCTATCCATAAGAAAAGTTGCATAAAATTAAAGGAGAGCATACATTAACTGAAAATTTATTTATCAGACACGGAAATCAAGTTCTTTCGATTTTCCACTACTGTTTCTCCATGTAATTTAGTGGAAAAAATACATAGATTTTCTCTTTTGCTCACCTTTTCATTTTCATGTCCAGATTCACCAACCCAAAGATTACCCAACTCATCCTTCAAACAAACTGCTGTATGACCAGCAAAGGCACCAGTGACCCACTTCTCAAGAGTTTCAAACCCACCCCACCGTCCACGAATCTTTGAAAGAGCTAAGAAATCACCAGAATGAACATCATTTGGGTTAATTGTTGTCCGCGGATGTGGGCGTTTCTCGAATGTTGCTCCCATGCGCTTCTTCAGAAAAGCGAGGTTAGAATTCTGGCCCCATGCTGTGTTAGAAAACAGGGGTAGTACATCCACCAACGAAAGCAAGGTCCCGAGCATCCCTGATGGCATGAGAAACACAGAGATTCCATGTTGCTTGACCTGCATAAAAGTTGCTTAAAGGTCAACTGTAAATGTATGGACATGCATTGGAGCTAGACAGAAAAAAAGGCTCAAAACGAGAGCATACATATTCCATTTCAGCAGGTTCCTCCCATGACTCAATTTTAAATGTGTGATCGTGGGCCGAAAAGTAGTAGTCCCAGGTTATCCTATAAGGTGTAGCAAATACATACAGATCCATACACGTCCAGCTGTGTGCTGCGCCTGTCTGCAAAGTGGGGTAANAGGTAAATGAAATCTGAAATACAATGGTACCAAGGATGTCTTATCTAAATAAAAACGGCATAATAGAACAAGAACAAGTACATACAGATACCAAATTATTTTTATTTCTTTCTTAAGGTGTTAAATCAGTTATCACTTGTTAGTTGTTATCACCCCATTGGTTCCTATGTATAAAAAGATCTAGGTGTCAAGTGCAGAAACATTCATGTCATCTCGAATATTAGATGCTTGAAGACCACAAAGTGCAAATCTACCAGCATTATTCTGTTGATAAGAGATGAACTATCAGCAAGGAACCTAGGGAACACCATCCATAAATACAAGTAACTAAAGCTCACGTGTGCTCAAACTCCTGATCACCACCCACCCACCCCCCAAAAAAAGAAAGAAAACATCCAAACTCATCAACGAACATTTATAAGCCTCCTCCCAAATCATCATCTTTCTACGGTCTCCTTCAGTTACAACTTATACTTATTGGTTTTTTAATGATAAGTTCGGCAACCTGAAATTATGGTTAAAAGATGCTGAACTTAAACAAAGCTACTTACTCTCGAATGAAGATCTGCTCAAAACTATTCAACCCTATCAGGATCAACAACCACAAATGAGAACCTACTATGAAATTCCGGGTGATTGGATAATGGTCAAAGTTATGCATGTAAGCTTCAAAAAGAATGCAGGGCTTAGTTGCAGTTATGACAGAAGTAGGTTTTTTCCTGGTTGTGGGAAGATGAAACATTACTTCTCCCTGAAACTGAAAAGGAGGAATGTTGTGATAGAGCTACGACAGCAAAGGTTGATAGTGTCACTGGTATGAACATCCAAAAGCATTTGTGAAGTGAGCCACTAATACCTTTAGGGGTCGTTTGGTTGGTGGGATAAGGGATAACAATCTTGGGATAAAATGCGGGATTATTTTATCCCACGTTTGGTTATGGAAATTAATTAGTCCTGCGACATTTTGTACTAAAATGGTGGGATATCCTTGTCTATCCATCCTGGTACCTAACGATCCCTTAGGTTATAGAAAGCTAGCCATAAAAGTATACGTGTTCAGTGCCAACAAATAGGTAAAGCAAGAACTTTGATTATGGTGAAGGAAGCTGGTGATGATCATTGGAAAAATTGATAGTTTTATCAATAGTTCCAAAATAAAGTGGAGACAGGAAGTTGACACAAAGAAGACAGTACAGCAGTTCTAATTAAATAGTTGGTCTACAGCATACTCAGGGAGGAAAAGATCCTTGTTTTTTAAAAGAAAGGAGCATTTTCCGGCGAGTGGTCAATGTGAAGGAACAGGTATGGCAACATCTAAAATTGAACAGGATGATATCTAAATTGAATAGGAGGACAGAAGTTATAACTGAATGTTCATAACAATCTAGTTTTCTACACGTGATGATACTGGATCCACAAAACAGCACGCTTCAACGGCCCTTGCATCCTAACTTTGCTTCAAATGCTAGAGCATTTAGAAACCTTGGGACCGAAGTGCATACACATACATTTAAGCGGCTACGTGGGAATACAAATGCTGACAAGTAGCGAGCCACATTCCATGTTTATTCTTGTTCTGAAGTGGCTCATGTGTATAGAAAGACACCCCAAAAAAGCAGCTTTCATAAATGGAAGGAACCTGACTTTCTTGGCGTACAACTGATTCAAAGATATTATTTTTTCCTCCTCCTCCTCCTCCTTATACACCCTCCTCCCGAGCAATGGCAAGAATGCAATATTATTTCCAATACTAACAACAATAAATCAAACTTTTTTTTACATCAATGTGACTATCATCCTAATATGAAGCATTCTGCAACCTTTTTTTCGGATGACGGTGGTGACCGGGCCAGCTTGCGAACATCTCGACTAATTCCACCGGGTACTTGCTACCTTCCACCAGCACAGGTATCGGGTAACTCTGCGCACCAAGGCTTAAGCAGATAGGAAGACAATGTTTGTTTACCTCCACTGGGGTTTGAACATGAGACCTAGTATTTTTTGCCCACCAAGCATTATGCAATTTTACCACTAAAATTAACACCTTTCTCTCTTCCAGACCTTCTAGTTCGACTATTTTGTACAAATTTAGCTTCCAAGCATGCAATTCTAGGTCTTCCAACACCCCCTCCCCCCAGAGTTGTGAAAAGCGCTCGCTTCAGCGCTTAAAGCGTGAAGCGAAGCGAAGCGGGAACTTGGTCGCTTCTATGTTGTGAAGCGTAGCAGGTGTTATAAAGCGTTCGCTTCTGCCAAAAAAGCGAGAAGCGTGAGAAGCGACAGAAGCGAGCGCTTCGATATATTAAGGTGCTGCCAACGATTAAAAATTAAAAAAGCTCTCTTTTTTCAAAACATATCGAGCAGCAGAAAAGAACAGACGATTAGGGTTCCCATTTTCTGCACTTTTAAAGTTCAAGTTCATCATGTTCAAGCCCAGGTATGTGATTTCTTCTTCCTCCTCCTCCCCCTTCTTCTTCTTCTTCTTCTTCTTCTTTTTCTTTTTCTTTTTCTTTCACTGTTTCAGTCTCAAAATAGCAGCGAAATGCTGCCAAAATTTTTTCCCCCTCCAGTTCTTCTTTTTCTCATTCTCTTCTTCTTCTGCTTCTTCTTCTGCTTCTTCTTCTTCTTCTTCTTCTTCTTCTTTTTCTTTTTCTTTCACTGTTTCAGTCTTAAATTGCAGCGAAATGCTGCCCAATTTTTTTCGTTTCAGTTGTTGCCATTTTTTTGTTTACAGTTACATAGGTTGTCTATGCAATATTTATTTTAATATTTTTTTTAAAATTCCGCTTCACTTCAAAAAAGCGAGCGCTTCGCTTCTCGCTTTAAGCGAAAAGGGGCTTGTCGCTTTTCCTCGCTTCACGCTCTTCACAACACTGCCTCCCCCAAGCCAGCAAGATAACTTCAACCGATAAAATACAACAACCATATGTATCTTACCAGTAAATAATGCTCTAAATCAACTGAACAGAAACTATATTCATAAAACAGAATTATGAAGCATATATTCAGCTCGCAAGCATGCAATGATTAGTCTTCCCAATACCCAGTAGCGGACTAGGAATTTTAACAAGGGTAAAAAATTGTAAAATGTCACATCTTGTATTCTTTAACCACTTTTTCCACCACACTAAAAGTTCCTTTTTCAAGGGGATTCAAAAATTTGTATATAGTATATACACAAAAATATTTGCTCTTCCTTACATGTGGCTCCGCCACTCCCAACACGCCACCTCCACCTCCACCCCCATCCCCCCAAGAAAAAGAAAAAAACAGCAAGATATGTTCTACCACAAAGTTCTTCGTCCTTCATCATCTTTTTAAGCTATTCCTATCACCATTCATCAATTAAACATCCACCCGACCAAAAATTACAAGTAAATACTACTAGTACTCTGCAAATCAACTGACATAAATTAAATTCACAAAGCAGAGCTATTCCTAACACCGTTCATCAATTAAACATTGACCTGACCAAAAATTACATGCAAATATCACTCAACAAAATCAACTGAGCATAAATTAAATTCACAATCCACAAACCGAGAGATAGATAGTGGCGCCGCCAATGCCGCGATCATCTCGGCCCGTAAACTCAACCCTAGCTTCATTCTGAAAAAAGCAAGCTCCTTTCCAACTAATTGACCCATTATTGGGAGCAAGTGATCCAATGTAAGTGGGCAACAAATCAACTGGACTATGGAGAGTATTAAGTACAGGCCACGAAACCTCACGTGGCAATACAGGGAGTACATCCTTTACCCTAAATGGCATTTTCAGTGCATCCCCAAAACTGAATCCTAACCCAATCAACAATATCCATAGCAGTGTTGAAGTACAGATTTTTTGGAGTTGATGCATTAGTGAGAGTAGTGAATTGAAGAGTAATTTGCAGTTTGTCGTTGATGATTGGGATTTTTGGGGATTTTGCAGAATTGATTTAGGGTTCCATTGAGGGAACAGGATTGAGTCCCAAATTGTTTTGGGTTTGGGATTGTTGGAAAGGGGAATGATTGGAAGTAGATAAAGATGTAAATATTGGGTCCTTTTTGTTAGGTGTGTGGTGTTATGAATTTATGATTGAAGTGGTGGACATTACCGAATCGTTAAGTACTATTTTGGGAACTCGTATACAAGTTTGATATTTTGAAAAGAAAATAAAAAGTTTGATAGAAAATTTGGAGATTTTTGTTATTCAACAGGAACTAGAAATTTTAATGAGAGATCACTCTGCGTTATTTTTGATGAATTAAATAAGGATTTAATTTATTTTATTTCTATCTCCCACAAGTATTCCTATAAAAATATGCCTATCTTTTCTGAAATATAATTTAAAATCAGATCAAAACAAACCTAGATATTCGAATTCTAAGTTATTAATTGACATGTAAGAATATACTCGTGTATTGTATAACACCAAATTAATTAATATAATATATATGTCTTTAATAAGAATATTTCTTATTTAATAATTATTAAATAATGTGTATTCTTAATTTAATTTTTAATTATTTAAACTAAATTGGTTGATTTGGCGTAAATAATCATCCAATATGAATAAGAGTGGGAAAAAAATGTGAAAGACCTTATATTAGAGTAGCTCATTGTCTGTCAAACACTTTGTTAAATATAGGGGAAAAACTATCAACTCATTTTTACTTTGAAGGAGAGGCGTTAGTTATTTCTCATCTGACTTTTGAGCCATAGTTAGGAGTGTCAATAAATATTTAAAAAGCGATTAAATCGATCGAATCATACCATATCGAATTGATTTTTAGGTTTCTTTTAATAAAATCGTGGGTTTTTATATAAATTTATAATTGTACCAATAATAGGGTAGGTTTTTATTTTATTAAAATAAATCAAAAAAATACCGAACCGTACCAAATAAATTTACATGTGAAAAATATATTTATATAATAAGTTTAAAAATAATAATGCATTAAATTTTTCCTTGGGTGTTAGAATTATGAAAACAGTTAGAAGCCACAAGTAATTAAACTCAAAATCCTAATTCTCAAACCTATTGCTACTCTTATTGAAACAAAATTATTTCCAGCATATTCATTAACAAGATACAAGGTATTATAGCAATTATGAATAGCATACTACAATAAGTTTATTGAATATGTTTCCTTTCAAATGATTTAGGTTTATCTTTATGAATATTCAATCTCCTGTAGACTTTATTCTTGAGTCCTACTTTGGTTAATATTTTTTCACTCGTGTGATTTATATTTTTTTTTGGTGTAGTGTCTTTTACGCTGATGTAAAATAGTTGATAGCTCTATACTCTGGTTATCTTTCATGTTTTCTTAACATCACATTTTAAACAGTAAAAACGTCTAGAGAGCTTTGTTAATTCGTATAAAAATACGTATATTATTGCACTCTACTTCTACTAATGATTTTTACATGATATTTAAAAAAATACCGAAATTAACCGAACCGTACCGATACCGAAGAGAAACCGACATGATTGGGACAGTTTCGAAAAGTCTAATTTTAGTTATACATAATAAAATAATCAAAAAATTAGTATGGTACAAATTTTATAAAATAACCGATTGAACTGAATCATTGACACCCGTAGCCACAGTAAAGTAAAATGGATTGAATAACCATTGTGATTTTCGAGTAGTGAATAGAAAGGAAATTTTATTTTGGACTACACTCATTAACTATTCTTTCTTTTAAAAAAATAAAATAAAATTTGAATCCTCTATGAATCCATACCAAATCCAATTACGACAAAGTTAAAATTCCATTTGCAGAGACTTCTTTTTTCTTCCAAAACTTGTTAAATTCTTTATGTTACTTTATTCCTGTAAATTCCATGAACTTTAGACCTATCTACGTCACGAAAATGCATGTCATAACCACTACTTTACAATGTATCCAAGTCTATCAACTTTATAACTTCTCATAATAGAATTTCTATGATAGCATCACTTTAGAGAAAATATAATAATCTTCTTTCGTTAACGATGATTATTAAGCCTATCAATTCACAATTATATACTCCCATCCGTCCATTTTAATAAATTTTTTATCATTTTTCTTGTAGTCCATAATATTTAATTTTTTCAGATATCAAGAAGAAATAGATTTCTTTTTTCCAAATTTGAAAAGTTTAGGAGTATTTGTTATATTTTCAATGAATAAATTAAGGTTAATATGATCAATTTAATTAATGATAAAAGTGAAATTTTTAATAAATGTAGAAAATAAAAATAATTAAAAAATCAATTAAATTGGAGCTTTGCCTTGCGATTGGAAAGCAACCTCCGATTGGATGCATTCTTGGTTAGAATAATTCTTTCCCTAATATCAAGAAGACTTCAAATTTAAAATGTTAAGCACGTCGTTGACTTCTCTTTTGTAATTCTCAAGGTTAGTGCACGTTTCTGTCTGTTTACTTGCACCCTCATCTTCACTATTTCATTAGTATTAAATTATTCGGCCATTTGTTATCAATTTAAAAAGCTAAAAGAGTACATCGAAATACGATAACCAGATGGGCAAGTAGTGGACAAAAATTGACATATTTGGGGGCCAAAATACGTATAATCTGTCTGAATAGTGTAAGGTGAACAAAAACAAATAAATTTGCATCCAGCAGTGTAATACAATCAACAACTACAATTACATATTAGTCTCAAACAAATTGGGATCGACACTAACAATATAATACACTGTAACATTATATTCAATCTGCTATCATGTTTTAATAGAGTCAAGCCATTGCATCCTTGAGATACCTTAAGAAGCTACTTCAAAGGAGAAATACATAAACCGCTCATTTAAGTTATCCTCAACGATCATCCAGACACTTCAATTGGCCCGTTTATCATTTAAACACTTCAAATATGCGTGAGTTACACTTGCCAATAACATGTCAAATGAACCAATTAAACAATGACACATGTAATTTGTAATTAAAAAATCCAACTTGCTTTCTGTTCTGCCTCACTTCTTCTCTTTTCTCCTATGTGTTTATTATAGGGATAATTAGGAACTTAAAAACCCAAAGGCTAAAAGAGTGGCGCCAAATCCAGTAGGTTATCATCCATGTATGAACCCTGTGTTAAAGTGAAAAAGTAGAAATCAACGTCTTCTTCAACTGCCAAATGAAATCAAATGAAGCTTTTCTCTCTTCTTGCTACTTCTCTCTCCTTTTTAATCTCATCTCATTTTCACCATTTTTACATCTCAACTCAAGGCAAACTCTCCATTTTTTCACTGAAAAAAAGCAGCTCTCCTCTCTCTTTCTTAGTATAACACCACCTCCACATTCCCTTAAACAAACACACTGAGAAATTAAAAAACAAAAAAGCATGTTCTTGTAGAAAAACCTAGGTTAGAGCTCGTGAGTGCAGATTTTGGTAAAATAGTATGGTCGAATCCAGTCACAAGTAGGGGAAGAAAGAGCAAGTGCTAATTAGGTTTCTCAATTTGGGTATAAAATGAGACCTCAATAAGAAAAAAATAGGAATTACACCCGCTGGAAATGGGTTAAAATTTGAGGCAACGTGCTGTTACATGAGTGTGCAACATGCGACATGCCAAGTCATGCGTGGGTGTTTAGTTGACGCTCTTAATAGACACCTGAGGTGTTTAGTTGGTCATTGGCTTAGTTAGGGTGTTTGTGTGATTGTTGTGGACAACTTAAAGGGGCCATTTATGTATTTCGCCTACTTCAAATCCCAAAGATGAAACAATTTGAGTAGCACGGAAGAAACAGGGCACTGTCTTCTACTGCAAGGGGTTGCCTAAAAGGATTTAACTGGATCTGCAAAGCAAGAAACAAGTTCAATAAAATGGAATACATTAGAAACAGTATACTGTACATCTTTAAGAACAAAATTTGGAAAAAATTGGTGCACAGGTGGGGTGAGAAAAAAAAACTAACAGGAACGATAGGAGAAGCGCCAGTCACTGAGCTTATGCAACTAATTGCTAGATTACAAGCTTCTTCACAGTAATCAGAGAAAAATGCAGGAACTTTGATATCCTTTATCAGCTCCTGGATGAAAAGTTAAAGGAAAAAACAAAAAGAAATATTTACCAACACCAAATCTGGCTAGCTTTATGCACTGTTGCAAAATCATAAAGGTAAAAGCTGACATATTAATCTCATGTTCGATCCTAGTATACACAACTAAGCACCAGATAGACAAGCTGAAACGAAGTATTGAATTCCAATGACTTACAATGGTTGGTACCCAGCTTCTGTATGCAGCGACACCAGCATTTGGTGCGATAATTAGATTAGGAGGAGAACCCTGACAAAGTATACAACATTTGAGTAAAACCCAACCATAATAAGGAAATGTACGAGCAAAGGCAAACGCTGTTTGAATGACCTTAATGATATTTTCGTAACAATCATGATAATAACCAGCATGAAGCTTTAATTTAATGGCTGAAGATCCACTTGACAATGACGTTGGGCCAAAATTCTCAGTCGAACATTTACATTTGTAGTTGGTCTCTGTACAATGAGCATAATCATGAAGTTCAATTCGCTCACCATTCCTAATCATCATTAAAAGCAAAAGAGTTTAATCTATTATAAAGGTACATCGAGCAATGTGATTATAAATAATCTGCAAAAGATAAACAAGATACGTATGAACTTTAGAAAATACAATAAAAGAAAGTCAGAAGTTAGTGTGAATGTGATGTATCATCATATAGTTTAACAGATAGAACGTTATCAGTTGCCGAGGTTTCAAATGATGGATCATGTCTAGTAAACTGGCAAGTGGTAACCCACTCTAACCACTTTTCTGTTAGCATCATCTGCTACCATTAGGTCTGTAGCAGTCATTATTCACTAAAGATGATTGTGGCTTATAGAGCCCAACCAAGGGCGATATATCAAGCATCTATCCTCCCAAGTACATCTTCTTTCTTAACCAAGTACATCTTTCTTTCTTAACCTTTTTTTAAAAGTTCTTTTTAAGCTTCTTTATTCCAAAAGCCATCAATTTATGACCCCCTTTTCCCACATTTAAGATTCTTCCAAGAATTAACAATGCAAATCATTTCCTTTCAGCAGAATGAGAACCAAGTGTCTTTAATCCGCTAATGTTCCATACACGAAAAGATTATTAAGTGCAGCAATAGTCATGGACTTACAATGAGGTCAATGATATTACTCTCCTTTCCTGCTGTTAGTTGTATACTTTGTAAATTTAGTCTGCTAATTAACTAGAACTTGCAGTGAAAAATAAGTAAACTAGAAACATGAAATAAAGGAGGGCAACAAACCTTTCTTCTGGAATTGCAGGTCCCACAAGATCTATATACATTTGAACATCAGGAAAAACTGCATGCAGTTCACCGAAAGCTGCAAGCTGATGAAGCTCTTTTTCAGGACCTTCACATTTCAAACCAGAGAAAGAGCTCAATTTTAGTATCAAGATAATGAGCCCTTGAAAAACTAGCTCCAAAAGGAGATGAAGAACGAGCAGTGGCATTAGCTCTAAATGTCATTTGTCAATTTTTACGGCCAGAGAGAGAGAGGGGTGGGGTGNTTATTTCAGGAATCAGGTTTCCTTGAACTGCTAGCTTAATAGCCCAATACAGCGTCAATGGCTGGAAAAAGCAAGAGAAGGATAGCAGACAAATGAGTAAGTGAGTTTCACAATTGATTTCTCCAAAGATTGACATTTCAATAGCTTCACAAACAATTCATACAACATCTTGCTCATATCGCCAAAGATCATAGAAGTATAATGTCCTTAGATGGAATGGCTATATGGGAGAAACAACAATGCAAAACGGCAAAAGAAGCATATCGCCCAAGTAATACGGCCATTACAAATCCATTCATTTAATATTTGTATACAGCCAACTTACCCAGTGAAGTAGCACGGCAACAGGAGAATATAGCGGAATGCACCTCCATTCATAATATTCCTTCCAACCACTAAGTAGCTCTGGTAATACAGTGGATGGCTCTGCATGTGAATACTATTATAAATTAGCATCCATGACAAGCATTGCATTCATGTAATGGTCGCTTAAAGAACTACAAGTACCTCTACAAGGACACAATGTACTAGATAAGTTCCAGCCTTCAATAAGCCTAATAACAAAAATTAAGGATAAGATTCCAAGTGTGACCTAGGTTAGAAGTATTTCTTTATATCCGCATAGCAGCAGAGATCAAATAGAACCTTTTAATTCGAGAAAGACACGAATAATGCAAAGAATACATTCAAATATATAATACACAGAAAACTTTATCTATGACAAGCACAAAGCTTGATTATAGACAAATGGGAAAAGGGTCAAATATACCCCTCTACTTTAGTATATTGTTCATATCTACCCTCCGTTATACTATCGGGCCATATTTACCCTTACCGTTAGCCAAATTCTTTAAAAATACTCTCCACCCTACGGAAAGCCATCAGATTAATAAAATAATCATTTTTAAAAAAATTCATTAACCCAAACCCGTTAAACCCATCATTTAAAAATACGGAACCTAGATTTCTGAGACGTCTTAACATATTTTATTAATTTAGAGAGAGAACGGGAATGGTGGTGGAAGTATGATTAGTAAGAACTTATATTTTGGTTATTAGTTGTTCATGGTGGCATTAGGATGTCATGTTATCACTTTCGGTTGTTTTTTTTTGTGTGGTTATAATATGGCATCCCTTTATCTAATGTAATACACACTTGACAATTGGTTTGTAAGTTGGTAACAACTGATATATACTTTAATAATACTTCTGTTTGGTTAATACATGAAGGTAGTGTACTTAGGTTGTTAAGTTACTTTCCAACTTATTGGTGTACTTTCTTTCATTCTTGATGAATTTATTGGACTGTAGCTTGATATTAAATTGAATCTCCTCTAATTATTTTCTAATTTTTGTTCATTATAAGTTCAGTTGTTACTAAGAATATGAGTATCCCATCCTATATCTTGGAATCTAACTTTGGTTCTTAAGGCGTGATTTGGCGATAATTACTTGTTGCCCAAATGCTTAAAGCAGAATAAGAAAATCATGGTGCATGAATACTCATCAACAAAGGCTCACTGTTGGAGGAAAAAATACTTTGGTAGCTGCCTTAAGACTTTAGAACTGGCAACCTAATAAGATGCTATAATCATTTAAGTCATGGTGGAAAGAAAATCATGATGAATACTCGGTACAGCTCGACATGGTGGAAAAAAACAAAGCGAGAAGCTAGAAGAAAAAAAGGAAATTGAAAAAGGTAGAATATGATAAACATATAATAAGGATATTAAAAGAATTAGTATTTTTATGTCTTTCACTTCTTGAGTTCAACAAGTGACTACGAAGGAGATGACTAATATGCGAGGAAGAAGTGCAGTAAATAAAAGGGGTTTAACGGGTTATTAATGGATTTTTAAAAAATAGGTATTTTTTTTAATTTAGTGACTTTCCGTTAGGTAGAGAGCATTTTTAAAAAGTTTGACTAACGGTAAGGGTAGATATGTCCCGATAGTATAACGGAGGGTAGATGTGAACAATATAACAAAGTAGAGGGGGTATATTTGACCCTTTTCCCTAGACAAATACTACTTTATACAAAAGAACATAGGTAGTAGGGATACAAATATGGAATTACTTAAGTTCACACAAAGAGGATACATACCATCCTCTTAGGCACCGTAAATATAAAGGTTATTATTAGTTAGGCTCAATGGCGGAGCTAGAAGCCGACCTATGGGTTCGACCGAACCCAGTAGCTTTAGTCCAAACTCTGTATTTGTATTAAGAAATTCACCAAATATGTACAAAGATCGCTATCCTAGAATTTAGAAACCATAAAGTTCAAATCCTAACTTGGTCTCTGGTTAGGCTTAGGCTGAAAGAAGATAGGATCAACAAGAGAACATTTTATCACGACAATAGAAACCAACCTTGAGCAGTTCAATGTAGTAGACGCCCCACAGCTACATTCAAACATCCACATTCCTACGCGGTGAATTCCCAGTTTTATCAAGAATGAACACCTTGTCATGCGTTTATCACACACCTATAATTAAAGCACCACAAGTATTTACCTAAGCAACTTCCAATAATAAGTAGTCAATATTCATAATTTAAATCATAATTTCATTCACAGGTTACCTGAACAGTAGCTTCTTCAGAAAATGTAAAAGGGAAATCACTCACAACATGAGCTTGCTTCATTTGCTGGTCTAACCTTTTACACTCTTTCTTGTGTACATTCAAGTGTGCAACCTGAAAACAAAACTAGTAAAATTATCCCTTTGTTTCAAAAAGGAATTACACTATTACTATTTGGAGAGCTAATTACTACAATTGGATATGCAAACCTGGTGAGAGATGGAGCAATAAGCTACGGCTCCGCAGCGACCGCAACGTCTTGTAGCCGGACCCGAACATGGGGTTCGGCTTCCGCTTCCGCTGCCGGCGCAGTCCATGGTTTCCGATCAAATGCGACTGATGGGTTGATCGGAAGTTGGAAACGAAGCTCACGTATATCTAACTGACAAAAAGAAATAGGCCCAATGGACCTGTGTATCCATCCTCAATTAGGCCCAATAGGTACGAACTGTTTGTCAAACACAATTTGACCCTTTAAATTGGCACACTTGATCCTTTTTTAACTATTATTTAAATAAATAGCATTATTTATTATTTATTTCATAAAGAGCACTTTTTTTTCATTAATAGCATATTACAAAAATTAAGCCCAACATTTATCTTCTTTACTCCATTTTTTAAAATATGATGCATATGTGAATGCCGCCTATATTCAAGATGTATTGATTTATGCGTCTTTTATACTTTGTATATCAAGTATCACATTAATTCAAAATGTATTTTTATGTATATAATTTTTGTATATTTATTTTTGAAGTGTCATCTTATTTTAAGATGTATTTTTAATGTATATTTCAAATATATTTTATATGTCAAGTGCCATTTTAATTCAGGATGTATTTTTTATATATATAATTTTTGTATATTTATATGCCATCTTAATTATATTTAAGATATATTTTTTTATGTATATTTCACATGTCTAAGTGTCATCTTAGTTGAAGATGTATTTTTATGTATATTTTTTGTATATTTTATATGTGTTAATTCAATATATTTTTTTTATATACATTTTGTATATATTAACGTATATTATTATCGAAATAATATCTTTGTGTTAAGAAAGGAAGAAATAAGGAAGAGAAAAACTTAAAAAAGATAATTAAAAAGAAAACAAATGGAACAAATTTAGAAAATATATTGGCTTCGGTAGAAACAAAATTAAGAAGATGAAGAAAAAGAAGAAAAGCTAATAGATAAAGAGAAAAAAAGGCATGATTTTTGTACAAAGAATAATTGATTTTTCATTCAAATTGCTTATGTTTAGAGATTAATAATTAATATTCCTATTTCAATGGAACTGTGTGCTACAAATATAAATATTTCCCTGCCACAACTGTAATATTGGATTTCATGCTACGAATTTGTTATATTTCTTTTAAATTGCGACAGTTATGTAAAGTTCCCAAATTGAGCGAATGACACAAATAACATACTTTTATACCACTATTGATTTTTTGATTTCGACAATAGAAGATTTGTGAATATAGCCCAGTGCCAGAATTTTAAGGTACACTCCCGAAGATCGTCAGAATTTTTGGTCAAATCCTGGTGATCACTGTATGAAAACAAAGAAGAATTCTCAGAAAACTTTTGATATTGTATGTCTTTTTGTTGTATTACACTGTGTATATGCCTATATTTATACAAAGGAAGGAATAAAAAGACAAAGACCTCTAACAGACTCTATACCATAGGACAACTGTACAATGAGACAAAATTAATATAAATGTTATTATCCTAAATGTGATTCTAGAATATTTTGTACTAAATTGCTCTAATCTTCATATCTCTTCCTTGTCCACATATACACATTATTGTAGGCCCAAAATATATTGTTGTTGAAAGCTTGGCCCAATAACATAAGAGATATTAAGCAGGCCCATCATTTAATCAACGCAACCTTTAATATATATGAAACCTCTTCGTTGGCTGAATATTGTAGACCATCAGTGATGGAATCAAACGTAGCTCCGGCAAAAGCTCCGTCAACACCCCCCCTCAAGTTGGAGTCCGGATATCGGACTCCTAACGTGTCTAAAACGTTGAGATGAAGAGGCCCTGCCAATCCTTTTGTAAACATTTTTGCTAGTTGAGAAGAGGATAGAACAAATGACAAGGAAATAAGCCCATCAAGCAATTTTTCACGGACGAAATGACAATCAATTTCGATGTATTTCGTTCGTTCGTGAAAAACTGGGTTTCGCACTATGTAAATTGCCGCTTGATTGTCACAACGAACATAAATCGGAAGTGAAGGAGACACGGACAGATCTGAGAGGAGACACACAACCCAGGAAAGTTCTGCTACTAGACGTCGGATAGAGCGATATTCAGCTTCCGCCGAAGAGAGAGAGAGAGGGAGAGAGAGAGAGAGAGAGAGAGAGAGAGAGAGAGAGAGAGAGAGAGGACTTGTTGTTTCTTCGATTTCCAAGGGACAGGGGCAATTGCCCATGCTTAAGAAGAATCCACTCACTAATCGATGAGTATCCGAGCAAGACGCCCAATCGGCATCGCAAAAACCCACAATTTGAAAGGATGGCTCAGAAGAGAAGAAAAGACCTAAACTTGGATCATTTCTGACATATTGCAGTGTATGCAACGCTGCTTGGTAACGGCCAGATCGGGGAGATTTTATGTATTGGCTCAATGTTTGTACAACGAAAGACAGATCCGGGCGTGTATGTGTGAGGAAGTTTAGCTTCCCCAAAAGTATGCGATAAATAGTTGGATCCGACAAAAGATCACCGGAATTGGCGGTGAGCTTGACATTTGAATTAAGTGGACTGAAAACTGTCCGTGAATGAAGGCAATCGAACTCAGAGAGGAGGTCAAGTGCAAATTTCCTCTGAGTAACAATAATCCCCCAGGTTCCTATAGAATTTCCATGCCTAGGAAGTAATTTGCTTCTCCTAGGTCTTTAATTCTAAATTCAGAGTCAAGAAAGGATTTAATTTCACTTATTTCTTCTTTATCGTTTCCTATCAGGAGAATCTCGTCTACATAGACTACCAAAATTGTTGTCAAAGTCCCAGAAGATTTGAAGAACAAAGAATAATGATTCACAAAAGAAGTAAACCCTCTTGAGCCTAAAGCAGAAGAAAGTCTAGCATACCACTGTCGGGAGGCCTGTTTGAGCCCATAGAGAGATTTGTGGAGACGACACACATGAGTGGGACTCGGAGAATCAACTCCTAGTAGAAATTTCATGAAAATTTCTTCGTCCAAATCACCATGGAGAAAGGCGTTATTGACGTCCAATTTATATAATTTCCATCTCTTCTTAACTGTAACAGAGAAAATACATCTTATAATTAACATTTTTACCATCGGTGAAAAAGTCTCTGTATAGTCTACCCCTTCTCTTTGTATATCGCCTCTTATGACCAATCTTGCTTTTAATCTCTCCAAACTCCCGTCGGATTTAACTTTCACTTTGGACACCCACTTGCAGGGAAACGCCTTCTTTCCCAAAGGCAGTGGGACGACTTCCCAAGTTCTATTGGACTCCAATGCCTCAAGTTCTTTTGCTATAGTTGTTTGCCAACCGGGGTGAAATGCTGCGTCTCGGTAAGAGTTAGGCTGAGTTATTTAGCATATAGAATTAATTAACCGTTGATTTGGTTATGAAAAAGAATAGGTGTGAAATGGGGTTATGGGAGAATTTGGTGAAAAAACTGAGTAAGCGGCATCACAAACATAATGAGATAAATATTTGGGTTCATTATGCTCTCTTGAAGATCTGCGTAATCCCTCTGCTGGAAGCGTTTCAACTCTAGGTGAGGACATGTTAGTAATAGGGGATCTTGGCACTCTAGGACTGGGAGAAAATAGGGGAAACACATCTGGTTTCACGACAGTAGGTGGAGGAGGTTCACGTGGTGAGGAAAGAACAGGGAAAGTCTCATCAGAAACTGGAAAACTGGCTGGGAAAAGTTTAGACATAGGAGTGGAATAAGAAAAAGGAAAAATATACTCAAAACATTTTGACATCTCTAGACACAAATACCTGATTTGTTTGAAGATTTAAGATCTTATATCCCTTTTTCCCAAATGGATATCCTAAAAGAACTCCAGGAATAGGTCTAGGTTGGAGCTTATCTCTATTCGTGGATAAAGTGGAAGCAAAACACAAACAGCCAAAAGGTCTTAGATGAGAATAATCTGGTGTCTTACCAAACATAATTTGAAAAGGTGACTTATTGTGCAAAACCCTTGAAGGAAATCTATTTATTAGGTATGATGATGTTAACAAACAATCACCCTAATACCTTTTAGGTAAATAAGATTGGAATAATAGAGCTCCACAAGTCTCTAACAGATGCTTGTATTTCCTTTCAACCACCCCATTTTGTTGTGGGGTCCCAATGCAAGAAGTATGGTGAATAATTCCTTTGGAGGCAAAAAAATCCGAAGCAATGGATCATGTCCCTAACTCATAAGTTGTGATGACCCAAAAGGTTATCTTATATTTTAGAACTCGAATCTGTACTCTTAAGCCTTAAAAATCTCATTTTTAGCATCCTCAATTTGCGTGCGCAGTCCAGGCAGGTTTTCGAAAAGTTTTCAAGTTGAAAACTAATGAAAATAAGAATTTTTACCTTAGAAGTTGATTTTAGTTGACTTCGGATAATATTTTTGTTAAATGGGTCCGGATCCATATTTTAACAGTCCCGGTGGGTCCGTATCGAATTATGGGACCTGGGCGTATGCCCGGAATCGAATTCGGAGGTCCCTAACTCAAGTTATGAATTTTTGATCAAAATTAAAAGTCTGAAAATTTATATGTTTTTAAGAATTGATTGGTGTTCGGCATTGTTAGTACCGGGTCCGTATTTTAGTTTCGGAGTTCGGTACAGGTTCATTATGATATTTAAGACCTGTCTGAGAAATTTGGTGAGAAACAGAGTTGATTTGACGTGATTCGGACGTCCAGTTGAGAAAATAGAAATTTTAAAGTGTTCTTGAGAATTTCATTTGATTTGGTGCTAAATTCATAGTTCTAAGTGTTATTTTGGCGATTTGATCGCGCGAGCAAGTTCGTATGATATTTTTTGACTTGTGTGTATGTTTGGTTTGGAGCCCCGAGGGCTCGGGTGAGTTTCGGATAGGCCACTGGATGTTTTGGACTTTGGAAATATGGTATTTTGCTGCAGCAAGTGGTCTGACATGTCCTTCTTCGCGTTCGCGAAAGTACTCTCGCGAACGCGAAGAGTAAACTAGGCAGCTGAGGATTTCTTCTTCGCGAACACGAAGCGATGGGGGCGTTACTCTTCGCGAACGCGAAATCCCATCGCGAACGCGTAGTGTTAGGCACTGGGGAGGGGCAAACACCTTTTCTTCATCGCGAACGCAAACAATGACTCGCAAACAC